GCGCTGGCTGCACTACGGGGCTGCTCCCTGCCCGAAGCACTTTGTTGGCAGTTTGCTCGGCTCCTGTACAACTTCTCCCAGAGATCAGGGAGTGGGGGGTAGGGACACACACGGCCTTCCCCCCACCCCGTTCCCTGCTCAGTGGGTTGGGTGGCATCTCCAAGCTCTGCCTGTGAGACGCTGGGCACGTTGTTCCGCAGCGGGGTCCCCGAGTCCGGCTGCCTGGGGCTCAGTCGGATGCCAAGGGCCGGTGTGGCGCGGCTCCGGGGGGTCCCAGCACAGGCGCTGGCAGCTGCGGCACTCTGTGCTGCCTCGCTGCAAGTCCTCTGGGATCAATCCCGTAGCTGTGACTGATTGCAGCTACTTATCCGAAGAGAGCAGCCTAATTCCCTTATCTGTCTATCCCAGGCGGTACCCGAACTCTCTTCGGAGCCGAGAAGCTGGCAGCAGTCTGTGTGAGCTTGGGGCTGGCCCTGCCTCTCCCTTTCCTTTGTGGAAGCTTAGATTATGCTGCAGGAGCCCGAGCCCTCTGTTCCCATCTCCTCTACCTTTGCCCTTTGCACACAAAGGGGCTTTGTCAGGGTTGTCTGGCTCATATTGTGCCTCTGTTTGCGAAGTCGGTGTAACTTGAGAGCTGGCGTGCGGGAAGATCCAGGTTCCAGCCTCTCTGGTGCTCGCTGCCTGGCCCCCTCCTCCGGGAGAGAGACCCTGGCCGGGGCTTCACCCCGCGTTTGGGGCTGTGGTGGGAAGGAGCGGCCTCTTGCCTTGCTGGGCTGGCAGAGCCTGGCTGGGATGGGATGGATGGTGGGAGATTCACCTGCGTTAGTCCTTTTGGGAGTGAGGTTAAGTGTTAAGACAGACTCCTTTTAAAAATAAAGGTTCCTAAAGGAGCGCTGGGGTGATGGTGGATGCTGGGAGGATGCAGACCCTCAGGAGGAGGGCAGTTTCGGTTTGTTTCTGGTGAAAAGCGGCTGCGTGCTCGGAGATCCAGCTGTGCCTGGACATTCCCTCTGCAGCTCTCGGCCCTGGGAAGCCATGGAGGGAGGACTGCACACCGGCAGGCAGCCATCCCAGAAGGGCCATCCCAGTTTGGGAAAGGCAAGTCCAGATGTTGTTGGGATGATGAGACCTACGTGGGCTTCACTCCCATCCCCTCTGCAGCTGCTCGGTGCCACCAGCAACCCCCAAAGGCCGTGAGGGCGTCCTGCTGGGGAGTTGTGGCTGGGCCCAGGACAGGGCTGAGGAAGAGAGGATTGTTTCTCAAGAGCTGCAACTCAGCCCTTTGTTCCTGGCTGGAAAACCAGCAACAGGGAGCGCCAGGCTGGCCCTGGCAGGAGCCCGCTGCCCCAGGCACACATCAGCAGAGCTGCTGCTGGAGGCATCCCGGTTTGTCAAACTGCTTTAGAGTTGCGGTGGGGCCTCCCCCAGACAAAGGTTCTGCTGCAGAAAGTCCCTGTGGTGGAAAAAAGGAGTCTGGAAAAGGGGAAAAGGAACTGCTGCAACAGTTCTCTGGGGGCTGGCTGGCTGTCGCTGGGGCCGTGTGCCGCCGCCGTGGGCGCTGCGAGCTCCCCTCGCACCC